GAGAGCAATGGAGAAGAGAATACAGAATTTCTTCTCCTCGCATTTAAAATTAAAAAGATTCTTGTATGGAGGAGGCTCTGGTTAATGAAGAATTACAGAATCGTAGGTTTAAAGCTGAAAGGAATCCAGCTTGTCCAAACCCTTAATTTGACACATAAGGAAAGTGAGGCCTAGAAAGGATAAGTGGCTTGGCCAGAGTCACAAGGATAGTAAGTTGCAGGGAGCTGGGATTTGAACGCAGATCTTCTGGGTCCACTCCCAACATTCTATCCTCTACTTCACCTGGCTTTGTAAATCCTGGCCTTACCTAACCATTTACAGCCATCTTATTTTCACCCCAACCCCTCCAGTATGTGAAATAAGGAACTAGAAACCAAAAACCCACTCCCTCCACATCCGTTGTTTGTCTGCACGGCCAAGCGGAGGGTCTTTGCCCATCTCAGGGGGTTTAAACTGAAAGAAATTTCAATTGGTGGTGATATCAGTGGCAGTTCATCTCTAGGGAAATTGGTAGGTGAATGTCTCAGGCATTCACTTACTGGATAGTACAATAGCTAGGAGGGAGAGGAGGAGGAGGAGTATTTATATTACACTTTAAGGTTTGCAAAGCTCTTTACAAAATATTATTTCACTTGATCCTCACAGCCACCCTGGGAGTTAGGTGTTGTTATCATCCCCATTTTGCAGATGAGGAAACTGAGGCAGACAGAGGTTAAATGACTTGCCCAAGGTCAAAGAGCTAATAAGTGTCTGAGGGCAGACTTGAGCTTACTTCTTGCTGACTCTAGGTCCAATGCCCAATCCACTGCTCTCAACTAACATAGAGCTTAAAGGTTTGGAAAGCACTTTACATTCATTATCGCCTTCAATTCTCCTAGCAATCCTGTGAACTAAGTGCTACTATTTTCCCATTTTACAGAAAAGAAAACTGAATCTCAAAAATGTCAAATGACTTGGTAAGGGTTACACAGCTATTAAGTTTCAGAGGTGGAATTCAAACCTGATTCCAAGTCTAGTCCTCTGTCCAATACACCATGCTGCCTCTTTATGTGGTCGTAAAATCACATCTGGTGGTAGATAAATTATATTTCCTACTTCTTAAGGCAAATTTCAGCAAAAGGTAACCTCCTAAAGATTTTGGCAGAAAAGCTTTCCCATCACTATGAAGATAAACTATTCATTATTCATGATTCTTAACCTTTTTTGAGTCAGGGACCCCTTTGACAATCTGGTGAAACCTCTGGACCCTTTCTCAAAATTATATTTTTTAGTGCCTAAAACAAAATATATAGGATTACTAAGAAAACCAGTTATATTGAAATGCTGTTACCAAAATATTTTTAAAAAATCAAGTTCCTGGAACCCAGATTGCAAACGCTGCTCCTGAATGTGAACTTGTTTCAAGTTTCCCTTTCCAGGGACGCTAGCCTCCCCCACAGCTGACTGGCTGGAAGGATAAGTGGGAAAAAGGAGAGAATAGCTCCTCATCTTTGTGTGTGTCCCTTGCAGTTCCCACAAGGACATATCTCTGTATCTGTTTGTCTCTCTCCTCTGCCATGCTCAGCCAGGTGAGGATGAAATAGGGCTCCTCAGTGTTTGGCCATTTTATATGGCTCTTGGAACCTAATGCTCCGGGCCATAAAGATTCACCAGTACAATGTATGTGACAAGACTGTACATAGTCATAAAGAGTGAGAACTCCTGATAGAAATTCTAGACTTGCTTCCCAGACTCTGTTACTACATGGAAGCTGGGTGTGATAGATAGTAATTATGTGACAAAGGATAGGCAATAGGGATGATGATGGTGTTCCGTCCTTACATCCTTTATTCCCATCTCCAGCCCACAGTATCATTGCTAAACTGAATTAAGCTATTCATGTTGGAAGCATGAGGAAAACAAGGCTTCCCTATTCATAGACAATCACTTTTCTTTGTGATGGCCCATTGAGAGCTTGGGAGCATTTTACAGATTTTAAATGAATGACTTCATTTGTCCAATGTAAATGGTTTCTGGCAATTAGCTTAGGGTACTAAACCAACATTCAACTTCCACTATGCAGGAGTACAAGAATGCCAGATTTCTGGATAACTCATTGGTATTTTCATTCTCAAAGAACTCTAGGAAGTAGCTTTAATGCATCTTATTGACTCTTAAAATAAAGCTGTATGATATCCATAGGGCAAATGGTGAAAATTCTTTTCTAGCAAAATAATTATTTGAGATTGTAGGCACCTCAGCCATGACACACTTTCCCATAAATAAATGTTTCTATGGAGGTCCCTGAACATGTATGTTCTAAAGGATAAATGTATGCATGAAGGATAGTGTTCTTTCTTTCAGTGGGACCCATTCAAATAGGCGAAGGGAATATGTTCACATTTTGTTATATTTCAAAGCAGTTGAATTGACCTAATTCTTCATCACAAATAAGTAATAAGCAAATAACTAATAATAAATGAAAAACACAATTATATGTCTACCTTCCCCCAGCTCTCTCTCTTAACTAAAAACAGAATGAGTCTGGCAGAGTTCAGGATTGTAGGTATTTTGGGATCTTTTGATCCCAAAATGAAAGAGTGAAGATACATAGAGCTAGAGTGGCAGTACATCCCCTCTACCATGGGGACAAAATTACCATTATACCATGAATTAAATGCAGTAGTACAAACAATTAAATTACAGAGGATAGGACGTAGTGACTTCAGGGACATCCTCAAAGTAGGGAAGGTCTGAGCTCAAACCCCATCTATCAAAAACTGAATTGTGACCTTGGGCAAGTCAGTTAAAATCTCAATGCTCTAGATAATTCTAAAACTCTTAAGTATTGACCTGCATTAGTAGAGGGATTTTCTTCATCCAGGAATTCCCTATATCAATTAAATCATAGTTCCAATCATCTATCTCCTGTTATTTAAGGGGGGGTGTAGTACAAATAGTATTACTCTCATTTTACGGATGATATAACCAAGACTTAGAGAAGTAAAATGATTTGTCCATGGTCCCATAGGTAGTTAATTATGAGAGCTAAGATTTGAATCTAGTTTTCTGATTCCAATCTACATTAGAGAAATTTCCTTTATCTTTTTTTTTTCCTTTGTAAAATATAGACTTCAATTCATCAAATCTAGAACACCAGAAATTCACTACAGCATTTTTTCACCATGGAGAAAAATTATATAGAAAACAAATTTGTCCTGGTCTATTTCATAATAAAGCAGTCACATTTATTTTTAAGGCAAGTACCACTTCACTGATCCCAATACTAACTTCATAGGTAGGTTCAACTTGTCTAAAAAAAAAAAAAAGTACAGAAATGTGAGTCATTGGATAGTTGCCTTAATCAAAGGTCACCATCAGCGACCCATGAATCATTTTTCTGAGAACAACTGGAGCTTCAACTTGAGACCCTACCCAAAGAAGGCCCAATTAATTGTTTGGATCTGCCAAGTGCTAACTGGTAAGGTATATCCCTTCCCAGGCACCATCACATCCCATATACATAATTTTGTGAATGAAAGACTTCTATTTTAATTTTTAAATTACATTCTGTGGGATAAATTATTTTATAAATTCCCAGTTGTTATAGCTCGCAGCGGTTTTATTCAGTCACCACTTTGCGCTTTTGTGTTTATTTTAATGGGGAAAATGGCTGAACTGGTTTGTTTCCTTTTTAATAGACCAAATCATTTTGATCTGTCTGCATTTCTTTAAAAGTCAGGGCACTAGGTATAGGACATGTTTTTTGATGGATAGAATTCATGAATCAGTTTAAGCTGTAAACTTCAGTCTTTGAAAAAGCAGGAATCACACTGTGTAGTAGATATCCTTCCATCCTCTTCTGTCCTTGTTTTTCAGCCTTATTCTGCTAATGGCAATGTTTCCTGACTCTCTTTTAAAGATAAAAAGCATTAGATCATGATATGCGCCTCATGAACTCCCTTATAGCAGCTTCTCTTCACCACCAGTTGCCAGGGTCTCTTTTGCTTTTAAAAAGCAATAGATTGGTTAGGGCCCTCTTGTATTGTTTGGTTCCCTTATTTTACTGTTTCATTAAGGCTTTATGAACTCTGCGTGTGTGTGTGTGTGTGTATGTGTGTGTGAAAGCGGGGAAGGGGGGGGCTACTTCCTATGATGAACTCTAACCCTTAATCTCAGTTTTTCTCTTTGTTGACCATCTGGGCTATAAGATGCTTCATTTTAAGCTTGTAAATCCTTCAACATAAGTCATAGAATCTCTGAGTACCAGAAAGCGTACTCTTTCCTCTTGCCCCATATTTAGACCCTTGTCACCACAAGTACTTAATGGAACCCTGTATATCAAGAGCATCTGCAAATCACGGATGATCCCCCTTTTCTTCAAAGTCAGCCAATGAGAATTCTGTTTGCTGGCTGTCCTTTATCTTTGGGATGCATTTAAGACAAGTTATAAGATAACAGTGGGTAGAGAATTACCTCCAAGTCAGGAAGGAAGACCTGGGCTCACATCCTGTCTGTGGCACATAACACTGAGTAACCCTAGCCAAATCACTTATTATCTCAGTGATCTCAGCAGCTTTTTAAGACTTTCAGTGGTAAAGAAGGTGGTTATCTGCATTGGTACAGGGAGTTTCCTTAGCTGGGAGTTTCCTATATCAATCAAATCACAGGTCTAGTTCTAAGTCCCACAAAGTAACACAGTAGATCAGAAAGCAAGCGTATACCCCAGTCCCTCATTTGATTTGAATCATGCATAATTTAGAGATAGCAATGTTTATGCAGTTCACTGAAAACTTCCCTGTTGTAATAGAAACATGCAGAGGCCAACCACATACAAAGATGCTGATTCTGTTGCTGTGCATAACATGTAATGTTCCCATAGGGGTCATGAATTGCCCTCACAACATGCAGATACATATGTGCAATAGATACATTTAGATATTTATCCCACCACTTCTTTGAAATGCCTTCGCCTGACGTGGCTTCACTTTTTTCTCCTAATTTGAAATTTTATTTTCTAGCCACATAAATAGAAGAACACAATTTGAAAACCCCGTCCTGGAAGCCAAACGAAAACTACAACAACATAACATGCCCAACACAGAACTTGGAACAAAGCCTTTGCAGGCCCCAGGTTTCCGAGGTACAGTACTATGTCAGCATATCACAGCTCAGGGAGGGGGGGATCGTCTATCAAACTGCCTACTGTTCGGAAAATGCCTTGAGCTTAGACTATTTATAATGATTGATTGGCTTTTTTTTTCTCTATTAGCTTTAGTTGGTGTTTACTATGATTCTAAACTAATGCATCTAGCAACCACAGATTAAATTAGGGCTCCAAGCATTATTTTATAGGAGTTGACAGCATGTTGCTAGGGTGAAGATTAATGGGCTTTGACCGAACAGTACTCTAAATTGTCGGGATTCATAGAGACGCATAAGTTTTTTTTGTTTTGTTTTGTTTTGGTTTTGGGTTTTTTTTTTTGTTCACAAAAGACGTAGCCCAAGAATGAGGCTTGTTCTCCTTTGTAACAGTAGACAGCTCCTCATCGACATTACCTAGGCCTAAATATGTTCACCCACGCCCTGCACTTGAGCGGTCTCGCAGCGTGAATGACTTGTCTTACTATCGGCGCGACAATGCTGGAAAGTACAGTCTGTATGGTATGTCCCAGTGCCGCTTCTTGGGCCTAGCTATACTTTTGTACCAAGTAGTGGGATAAGTTGCATCACGACCTTTTCACCTATTTTTTTTTGTACTTTTTCTCACAAATTAAAACACTGGAGAGAGGCTCTGGAAGCCTGGGGAGGCCCATTCTTGCCTGTTAGTAATTTTCACACTGCCCCATGGCAGCACGTTGAAAATGGATGTAAAGGTCACCAGACTGTCATCTCACCAGTTGCAAATGTCACTGTCAAAGACAAAAGTTAATTTGTGTAGGTGAAAAGATTATGTTTCCTTCACTTGCTTTAACAAAAAAAATTTTTTTGAAGTCTGAAGCTTCTTATAAATAGAAATATAAAATGGAGGTAGCTAGATAGACAAACCCAGAAGAACCCTATTATAACATGACTTGTTTATAGTTCAGATATACCATAGGTCAAATAATATCCATCCCCTTCACTTAATGTAACCATTATAGCTGATAAAGGTCTAACACAAGCCGGTTAACTTATAAAGACACTATTAATTTGGTCTCTCTAGATCATGTTGTAAAGGGGTTTCACTCTGTACATGCACGCATACATTTATGCTTGTGTTTTATCACAGAATGTAGTCCAAAAGATAAATTGTGCAATATATTGATGAACAAAGCTATGCAACTGGGCCAAAGAACTTTCAATGGTAAAAAAAAAAAATGATATGTTACTTTATGTATATCATTTGAATTATCTAAACCTTATAATACACATTTTCTATCTTTAACAGTAATGAGTTCTAGAACCAGAAAGTCAATTTTTTTGTGAATAAGCTCCTCACCCTTTGAAGTACCTTGAATATTTGTGGGCCAGTAGATATTTTTCTGATTATGGGCCCATCATCTCAAGATAAGAAGATAATTCAGAGAGTCACCATATTCAGTTGCTTGGCCCTGCAATGCCAATTAGTTGATAAAATTCTGCTACTTCCTCTTGTTACAGTGGAAAGGGTGCTAGTTTTGGAATCAGAAGATCTTGATTCAAATCCTACCTCTGCAACTTACTAGGCATGACCTTGGCCAGGTCACTTAACCTCTGTGAGCCTCAGTTTCCTCATTTATAAAATGAGGGGATGGACTAAATGGTCAATAAGGTCCCTTCTAGTTTGAAATCTATACTCCTATGATCTCTACACTTTTAAGTATTTAGCATTAAGAGAAAAAAAGTTAGTTACTCATTGACCCTTCTTGCATATAGTAATGACCACAGACATGTATATACCTTGTAATTTATTGTAGAAATTCTAGATTCTTTGGTGCCAGGTAGACACTGCATTTAAGCTTGGGAGAGGTGATTTACTAAATGGCAACAGTGGCCCGTAAAGGTTAAAAAAACCCCTCTCCATCAGCTTCCACCCATTTCAGGGCAAAAACCAAGATGAATGTGTCCAAGAGTTTGTCATGGCTGATCTGCTTTAGTGTAGACTAGAGTACTAATATCTGTGTTTCTATTGGAATGCTCACACCACCACCACCACCACCCCTTTATTTCACTTAATATAAAAATGTCACCACATCCACCACCTCTGTTGCTACTAGTGGCTAGTTTTCTCTTGCACTCTGACTTGGCTTAAGTGTATGGTTTTTTTTTTCTTTTACTTGTTTTGACCAATATAGAAAAGCCGCTTTTCACCCGGGATGCATCACAACTGAAGGGCACTTTCCTAAGCACAATCCTGAAAAAGAGCAACATGGGCTTTGGATTTACCATCATTGGGGGAGATGAACCTGATGAGTTTCTTCAGGTGAAAAGTGTGATTCCTGATGGACCTGCTGCTCAGGATGGGAAAATGGAAACAGGTAATTTGTTTACTTCTTTGGTTGAATAGCCTGTAACATCCCATTTCTAAAAAGGGTCTTCTAACACACAAAGAGCTTCATTCCTCCTTCCTTGCCTTTGGTTTGGAGTTCAGATGTTGTCTTAAGAAGAATACAAATTCAGTTAAAAAATTAGCCAGATATTCATTTTTATCTTACTTCCCCCTATAAAACAATCATGTAATTTCAAAATGATTCTAAATTTATTTTTATCTTATTTCTCTTTTGTTTGCTATATTTGATGAACAAGATAAATAGCACCTGAGGCTGACATTTCCCCCATTCATCTTTGGAGTTCTCTCATGATCAAGCTTCAAATTTTGTTTCATTGTCACTTGCGTTAAGTGTCTGATTTTATCAGTATTCCTTTTCTTGTTGATTCCAAAGTTACATTATTTCACTAACTTGGCAAGGAAACCTATTTAATTAGCTGTGATCATTAAGCAGATAATTTTTGAAATTTCCCTCTTAATATTAGGCTACTGGAGATGATTCCATTTTTATGTGTGCCTATACAATTGTTTGCTGTGCAAATTTTTAGAGTCGTTACAATGTTTGTCTACGCAATTAGGTGGGCATTTATCTATTGTCTTCGTTACATGTAGGCAAGCAAAACTAAGCTTATTCAGAGAAATAGAAAATATATAATTTTGTAGTGCATATTTCCAGACAAGGGTCATGATGAAGAAGTCTGAAAAATATATGTTACAAAGAAATGTACACAAATATACTGAAACTACTGTCATTTTAAAAGATTTTTTTTTACTACAACTCTTCTGTCTTTTGACTTTAGTCATTTTGTTGTGATTTCTCATGTGAATTCTCTTGAAAGTCAGTGAAAACAGAACTGATGCCCTGCAGTGCAGGGGCCCAGTCAAGTCATAGAGTCATTCAGTTCCCTTTGATTACTTAAATATTTATTTAAGGACTTTTCCAGAGTTTTATTATTCCTGACTTCTTACACGTTAATGAATGTGAGTGTTTGAACTGGTATTTGCTCTTAAGAGACAGAATACTTGAGGGAAGATTTGAGTGAGTGTCTTAGGAACTCTACAGTTGGATTTGTTACATCAAAGACACTATTTAAACTAACATTTAGACTAACATTTTAAAAAATCAATCAAATCGTGATTTTTGTGTTTTTAGCTATTTTTCTCTCTGGTGCCCCATATTCCATTTGACTAATTGTATATGGATTAGTTAGCTGACTGGTAGATAAATTTTTGTGACAAATTTTGTGAGTAGACGACCACAAACTCAAAAATTTTCCACAAGTGTTAGCACTTAAAATTACAGCAACAAAACATGTATTTAGAAAATTGTTTTGTAACCACTTATCAAATGCACTTTTTCCTGGTTCTTTCATAAATGTTTTTGTTCCAAGTGACCTGACTCTGTCTCTGGCTCAAAAATATTATGTTATATACAAATATATGTGTGGACATGAGATTTATTCTTCTATTGAACCTTTCTGACAAATGATGTAAACTACCTTTTAATAACTCAACTAATTTTCCAAATTGTACTTTTTCAGTATTCTTTAAACTGACTTCTGCATGACTAAATTAAGATGTTCCCCTCAGTTGACCCCACATCAAAATCATGTTTCACTCTATTAGAACGTGAGCTCTTTTAAAGAATGTACTGACTTATTTTTCTTTATGTATCCTTAGCACTTAAAGCACTTCTTGTGTTACACAGTGCTTTAAGCATAGTAAGCATTTAATAAATGCTTTTTCAATCACTCATGCAATGATATTTATTCAGAACCCTATCTTCATGCTAGTGAAAACCACAAAGGAAACATCAAATAATCTATCCTACTAATCATTGCTGGGGGGTTAAGAAAAAGGGTTAGGATCAAAAAGGAAGTCTTGGAGAAAAGGGTAAAAGACAGAGCAAGAGGGAATTATGTAAAGGTTTCCCTTGCAAAAAAATGAAATACTTGACAAATTCAGAATAGATCCTAGCTTTTTTCTCTCTGCTCTAACCAGGTCATCCTCCTTTCAGAGCCCTCATTTTGTGACACAAAGAAGGGGTTCTGAATCTTTTTATTTTGTTGGTATGGACCCTTTGGCTATCTGGGGAAACCTATGGACCCTTTTTCTGAATAATGTTTTTAAATAATCAAAGGGAATGTTATATTTCAGTTAGGATTCAGTGAGAATCCTATTCAAATTTCTAGTGAAAATAAGGATGCAATTTTCCTCACCCAAGTCCCCAGAGACCTTAAATTATCCATAAACCCTTCAGGGCTACTGATCAGGTTAAGAATCTCTAATTTAGAGAGGTATCTCTGTAATAGAAACCTTTCCAAACTAAAGTTTACTATTTTCACAGAAAATTTCTTCCTCATTCAGACTTCCTTTCCACTTACTTTTTATTTCAGGTATTTCAACACTTTTATCAGTCAATCAAGCATTCATACCTTATTCAGTACCTACTATGTGTCAGACACTATTCTAGATGTTGAAGATAAAAACACAAGGAATAAACAATTCCTGCTCTCAAAGAGCTTACATTCTATTGGGGAAGACAGCAGGTGCATCTGTAAGCATATGCCGAATAAATACAAAATACGTACCTGGTTTCTAATCCAACCTTTATTACTTACTGAATATATTCTATATACCAGGTAGTTAGGGAGAGAGAACATTTGGAGATGGGAGCAAGGAGGCTATGGTCAGGAAATGTTTCATTTTGAAGAAGAACCTTAACTAGTCAGGAAAGGCTTCATTTTGATTAAGAACCTTCACCAATACCTATGACAGCTCCATTCTACAAGGAATCCAAGTCCTTCAGACCTTGTAGAGTTTCCAAAGCTACATAGTGATAACAAAACCAGCTCACAATGTAAGTAATAATATACAAAATAAGTGTGAAAAATCCCAGATTTAATTCTCTATTCTGCCACTGATTTCTAGAAATTCCATTAGTGAAATGTTATTTCATTATAATAATGCTAATATATGACATATTGAAAGTTACAATATTTTCCTATATTTCTAATAATAAAATATAAAATTATCATATTAACATGTAATATTTTATTAAAATTATTACATTGTTTTTATTATTTGTATGGTCCTGTGGAATAGTAGAAAAAGCTTTAGAATTCAGAGAACCTAAGTTCAAATCCTGACTTTGCTAATTACTGTATGGTTTGGGGAAAGTAGGATTTAAGTTTTTTTGAAGTCAAAGCACAATTTTGCTCATCTCAGGGCCTTACACATAGTGAACACTTAATATCATGGGTTGAGTTGATTGTTACTGAATCAAAATTCATTTAATTGTTCTGGGCCTCAGTATCCTTTCCAAAAAAAATAGAGTCATTGATATTAGAGATCTCTAAGTTCTCTTCAAGCTCTAAAGCCAATGGAAATATCATGAATTAAGGTTAAAATGCTTTTGGAGGTGAATTGAAATGTTCTATTTCCTAAAACATCTCTTCTTGTTGAGTATGCACTGAAAGAAAATCTCACCCAAGATGTGTTAATCCCCATGGATCCACCATGGATCCTACTTATTTATTGTAGCAAACAAGATTTATGTTTAGAACCAACAAAAGGTTGAAGTTGGAGAGGACCTTAGAGATCCTTACCTCCACCCAACTCTTTTGACCAACCAAGCACCTGAGCACCAAAGAAGTCAAAGGACTTAATTAAGGCCACTCAACTGATTAACGACGGAGCCTGGGAATGAAACTCAGGTCCCAGTCTCATTTTTTTCTGCTATACCACGTATACCATACTGTCTTTAAGGGGGCAGTTTTTTTATATGCCCCTCTTTTCCCTTCATTAACTACCCACAGTGCTATTGCTCCTCACAATAGAGTGGTATCTTGTACAAAGAAATTGTATTTTCCCCCAAGAGTCCAAACAACTTACTTGAAGTTGTTTTTAGATTCTGATTACATATTCAGAAATTAAAGAAATACACCTGGATCTTGTATGATTTTTTTTAATTGCATAGGCATTTGGGTTCTTTCAATTATTACTTCACCTTAATAGTGTTTTCACAGTGTACTGGGTGATTATGGAATCAATGATCTTTGCTTTTTTATTAGCTTTCAGTAATTAACAAAGCAGCAGCTTTCTGGTACAGTGGAGGAAACAGTAAATTTGGAGTCAGAGAATTCAGAAACCCTCGGTTTGAATCCCATCTCTGTCACTTATGCATGTGACCAAGAGCAAGTCACTTACCCTCTTTGGGTCCCAGTTCCTCATCTGCAAAATGAAGAATTTGGCCTAGATGACTTTTAAGGTCCCTTCCAGCTCTGCATCTATAATTCTATCTTCAAATAACAGCGTGTGCCATCACTTTGTAAATGTGTTGTCAGATCCTTGTTTGCCATTGTTTGTTTGGGAGTAATGTTAATTGTAGTAAACTTTAATAATTACATTTTGTTTCAAGGAAAAAAAAGTCAGCATTAGGTATCTACTGTGTATTGTCAGGTAACTTTGAATTGAATGCTAATAGGTATGTAAACACATTTGTTGATGTTCCACCTACTTTTGACTGTTAAACATTGTATGTGAGGTCTGATGTTGAGATTCGGGGATTAGAATCGGAGATTTGATTTTTATCAACCCTAAACCCTGGTTTTATAATACATTCAGATCAGATTTCTCAGGAGTACTGAGAAATAAGATACATCAGGCCTCTGCTCTACGTTTTCACATCTTGTTGAGTCAATTACAATAACTCACAGGGATTCCAAAATTTTCTCCCTTCTATATGTTTGTTACTATCAACCTCCAAATCCTCCATACTGATGACCTTGAGTCATCTTCAGCTCTTCCTGCTCCACTGCACACATCCAATCTTTTCCCACATTTTGGCAGTTCTTCTCCTGAAATATCTCTTCATTGAGGCTTCCTCTTCATCCCCCTACAAATATTTTAGTTCAGGTCAGGGCTTTCTTCTTTTTTTTTTCTAAGAATAGTGTAGTAGTTTCCTAATGGGTCTTCCAGCCTCCAATA